TTGCCAACAAGTGAACTGTGGTGGTATCCTTCGACCCAGCATCCTCCCGTATCAAACCACTAGGGCGGAACAATCTCCACAATGGAACGGCGAAGGTAGTAAGACGGCTCAAACAGTATGTAGGGTAGCTGACGCTACTGAGGCAGACGTCACCACCTGTAAAAGTAATGAACCATGGCACACCCCAATTTAAGAGTCCGTCACAGAGAGACTTGGTTTTGTCCGGCGGTCTCCCTTATCGTCTCGTAGGGTGGCAATCTCAAGTGTATCATTGTGCTTCAAGAATATGCATACCTAGCAACAGCCCAATAGTTTGAGATGTCGATGTAGTGTCCGTTTACAGGGCTACCTGCTCAAGTAACTACATACTGTGGTCAAGCTAAGTAGCAATGCAATCAAGCTTGTTCGTGGCACTTGTAAGTGGTTCCGAGGTCAACAAACAACTTACCCACGTAAGCAAAAGAGTACAGCACTATAGGAAATGTCCCCGGATAGATTAATAAGTGCCTTCTTCATAGTTAACTGCAAGTATATGTTTGGGGTATATTGTCCGGTTCTAATGAGCTGGAATGTCATGTTCTTCAAAGTTCATCTCTGATGCTCTGCTTAGTTCCGGTCTTCGGCAACAAACTCTGGAGTGTAATCGCTGATGAAATTAAAGTCATCTATTCACAACAACGTGCAAAAATCCAGGCCACCCTACGCCCCATTCTGTATTATCTACCTGCACTTGGATCCTAATGACAACTGTGACAGATGCCATTTACTAATTTCTCGACTTGAGAGTGAGATATTCTGTTGCCTATAACTTTTCTTAACATTGTGACTATCAAGTTTAGAAAGCCAAAAAACACCATCGGACATGTATGCCGTCATTATTATAGAATGGAATCGCGCAGTTGACTTCACAAAACATATGTATTACACTGTATAGAATCGAGCTCATTGGTTCAATCGAAACTGCAATATCTGACGAGTATATTTTTGCTATTTGTCGAATATCTACAGATATGACGTTCTATTGCTACGGTGGAGGACTACACAGACTTACAGGATGACCTGGACAAAGCGTACACATTGCCCATTGGGAATATGCTGTATTTCAACGCCACAGAGTACTCACAGCTACCGCCAAGGACCACAAATACTGCAACAGGCTTGTTTTGTGTGTGATCTCGGCGCGCTTTTTCAAGATGAACTCGATTGTTTGAACCAGACTGAAAAGGCATCAAAGAAAGCAAACCAGCACTTCTGCAATCTTCGTAGAGGGTTTTGGAATTTTGATCCCTCAGTCTTTCCGATACTGCTTGGCACGTACGTGAGGCCACATGCGAAAATACGCTGTCTAAGCGTGACAACCCTGGCTGAAGCACCATCTCACCGCGCTCGATACTACACAACGCAGGGCAACAAAGAACGTCCAAGGTTTGTCCCGCCTTCCCTACCTACTCAGACTGAAAACCCTCAAAATATACAGCGGACCTTATCGGCGTCTAAAGGGCCATCTCATAATGGTGTGTCGGATTCTGAGAAATCCAAATCACACATGTCATTGTCTATTGAAACTTGGTCAAATCACCTCTCTAAGGGGTGATCAGTTTAAGCTGGTCACTTAGTACAGCCGACTGGAAGGTCGACGAAACGTTTCTTCCTCCGAGTGTCACACCTATGAAAAGCCCTCCCGGCACATATTATTAATGTCTCCGCCGTATCCCTTTTCAACACATGCCTTGACGATACTCTGACGATACTCTGACGATACTCTGATATAACGCCTGACCAGCAGATGCTGGCACTAATGCGCAACAAACGGTGAACGACGCCATAAGCCTCCTAAACTCCAGGAAAAAATACTCGCACGAGCTACTTCAAACCCCTTGCTGAGTCATATAGTTCACGGGTTCTTTTACTGACACCGTTTTTTTTGTCGTTGTTATCACCCAAACTATCCTACGGGATATGTCAACCATGCGCTTGTATACCCGTCATAAAGCATTATTCCATTGCTCCAGCGATACTTCACAAAAGAGCTATGAGGTTATTCCTCCAAGTTTCAATTTAGCCCCAGTCTAGCTTTAGAGAAAGAAGCTGAATTTATGTTTTCTTTACAGTATCATAAACCATAAAATGCACAGTTATTATGAGTAAAATTCACATGTCCTTAAACACCATTTACCTGATTCTTAGTAGAGACAAATCGAAAATTATACCCATGAAATTGATAAAACACAAGGTTGCAAAGAGCACGCTTTTCGATAAATCTCATCAGGCATTTACAAGTATAAAATGGAAAGTTGGAGCAGGGTGGGCTGGTGAAGCTCGATAAGGATTAGCGAATCAGAGAGAGGCAGAACGTGAGCTGTCTTAATCGATAAATTGGTCGATCCACTCAAGCAGCGGCTACCACAGTATACGTAGGCAGACATAGACAAACACACATGCTTGCGAGACATAGTATGTGTTATTCAACTGATTGAGTGACGCACTTATCACCCGCTGGTTGTCAGCGTGTCTAGTGGAAGCTGTTTGGAAGTGTGTCAGCCCTGGGGCAGAAGCAGCGCTTGAATAAGCGCCTTCTGCTTGTATAGTTCAGGTTGTGTAAGCCGGACCGCAATTGCTTCGGTCGTCCGTAACATTCGTTTCCTAAGCCTCTTGGGGTAGCGTTTTGGTACAACAGAAAACACTTTGAAAGCATCAGTAGTCTTGCTTTGATGTCCACTTTCGACCAGATGTTCTAGGATAGAACTCTTCATTCAACCGACAGTACCTTTCTGCAATGCCGTGAGACAGTGCTCGGATATCCGTTTAGACAAACGCCCAGTCGTAGGTCCGACTGTTGTAACACCCACAACCGACCGATTGATTTACGCCTGCTGGTAAATCTGCGTCCTTACACCTGCTCTGTTTGACGCCTTGACAAACCCTCCAGGAAGGAAGACAGAAGAAGACTCAGCAGACCAGAGTTGTATTAGGACCGAGAACGCTCATATTTATATGTCGGTTTCACCAATCCTCTACACATCACCTGGCGGATTTGGCTGTAAGCCAACGCTCCACACTTGCTTGTCCGCTCCGTCTGTCCAGTTCACCGTCTTGTTCGGGCACTCCAGTCTTCGTCCGCATACACGGGACATGGCAACACATGAGATGTCTGACGCGCGATTTCATCAGCTTCCGGTCAAGCCTTGGCAACACGCCTGCTGTCTGATGCACGATTTCATCAGCTTTCGGTTGGACCCTGACAACACGCTCGCAGGGTCTGTCCCAAGCACGATTTGTGACAAACACGCGAGCGTTGGCAACAGCTTTCTTAACCAGCTGTCACTGACGTACCTGTCAAAGAGCGACTCCCGGTCCAGTCCGAATCTTATATACTATATCAATTTACTTGCACCTGAGGTACGTCAGACATACGACTAGGCGTATGTTTACACGGATATCGGAGCACTGTTCCACGGCATTGCAGAAAGGTTCTGTCAGTTGCATCAAGATTTCTATCCTGGAACATCTGGTCGAAATTGGACATCAAACCAAGGCTACTGATGCTTTCAAAGTGTTTTATATCGTACCAAAACGCTACCCCAAGGGGTTTAGGGCAGTTAATCATCTAAAACGCACTTACTATGTTTAGGATATCACAATCCATGGATAGCGCTTTCGAGAACGAAATCTCATAAGCCTGACTAATTTACCAATAACACTTGTATCCAGGGTAAATAAACACGTGCATATAACTTTTGGGATAAAGCTCTTTCATTTCATTTCATTTGTCTTCTTTACCCCAACATTCGTCATGTGTTTGTGAATAACCGTGGTTCATAACCAGGTCAAGCAACCAGCAAAAATATTCTGGTTACTTGGTGTTACATAACTTTGACATATGTCCCCATATATTATGTCTAAAATTTTGTATGCAATAGCATGAAAAGGTTATAAAAGTGTCTGTTCTATCCCTTCCATGAACAGCTTCCCGAATCTTTGAAGAATATACACTTTATTTGCTTATCAGTTCTCCTGTCTTCCGCCACTGATAGCAAGATACGTCGAGTAGCTGCTACTGTTGCCCAATACCTGGGATACTAGTCGGTTGCAGGGATACGTAAGACGTGCCAAATACTGGACGGTAGCAAATATAAAGGCGACTGCAGAACTCAGTCTTCCGATCAACCTAGTCAAGTCGCAGTTCATGAGGCTGGGTATGTGTGAACACAGTCGAACCTGCACAGTGGCAGGTCAATCGTTGCATCCCGCGCCTTCCGTGCGAGAAGTCGGTGTACCCTCACGCTACGACCTAAAGTCAATGGACAACACAAATAGGCTTTACCAAAACAGCCTTCGTATGCTTCAAGCACTCAGGCGCAGCTTCAGCACTTGGTCACAAGAGGGTCCCACTCGCCTATTCGTCTCAATAATACGACAATGCTAGAGTACGGCTCTCCCGCGTATTGTCCTATCACTCGGGACAAGGTAGAAATTAGTGAGCGAGTGCAGCGTATAGCCATCAGGCTGATTTCCAATTTACGATATGTACCTTGCGAAGACCGGTGTAAGAAACTAGGGCTTTACACCCCAACTTATCATCATGACGCACCGGATATTACATCTGGGAGATTACCCCATGTTGAGGCCAATGCTTCATCTGCGCACACCAAGCAGCACACGAGGACACCGGTACGAGTATGTCGTCGTGGATTTGAAGCAGGTCGCTCACCAACTCTGTTTCGAACGCAGAGTGCTGAATGTATGGAATGGCCTGCAGCAGCAGGTAGTTGAGGGAAAGTCGGTGTCAGAATTTAAGAAATTCCTGGACAAACATGGCCGATATAAAAAATATCGAGCACACCCCAAAATAACGGGTCTCTGTCTCTGAGTGACATTAGATGCTGCTACACAGAGATACCTCTTCTTGCTGCTTCCAACTAGTAAATAGTAATCAGTACTGGCTACAAGGAGTGGGCAGCCAATAAACAAGCGCAGGGAAATTTTAGCACGCGACTCACCGGGTCAGAATGTGCTTGCGAATCTACAGCCAGCAAAACAAATGGATGTCGCGAAGGTACAAACAACAATAACTCCAATAAAATGATGAAATTAGATACGGCGTTGATTCCATCATGTGCTTCAAACCGAGTGAGTGGTCACTTGGACACCAATCGAAGCCCAATGTACGTCAGCGGAATGTAATCAACCACAGGAGTCCTGAACGCAGTCTCATCGCTTCGAACTCATTCGATTTACTCACCACGAATGATCGAAGAGTAGAGCAATAATTTTCCGGATACGCAGTACACAGATTAGGTGCAAATGGCCCTGCAAGAAAAATGTGAACTGTCATCTATGTCGAACATTGTTCAATGATTTTAACTCACAGAACCCTATATCAGCAGCCCAGCGCTGCTCACAAATCCTAAGTGTCGCTACACTCTGGCTGTAAGTATAGAACACAGTCGATGTCACTGTAGGATGAGGATTCTCTATGACTAAAAATGTGCTTTAAAGCAGTACCAGAGCGTTGAGAAAATACGTGCAGCCTTTGGTGATGATACGCCTTCAAGAACCACCTTGTTTGAGTAGTTTGCAAAATTAAAGCGTGGCAGACGGTATCCTAAATGATGAGACACGGTTTGGTCGACCTGTGGAGTCCACCACCGCGGACAACATTGTTGCTGTGTAAGCGATGCTGCAAGAGAACGCGCGGGTGACCATGTCACAGCTGGGGAAAGCCATCGGGATCTCCTCGGAGTCAATCCCGTATCATCTTACATGAGAACCTCGACCTCGGTAAGGTTTGCACACGCTGGGTACCCATCAGCTCAGTGAGGACCAGGAAGCAGCTCGGGTGAATTGATGCCGCATCATGCTTGCCAGGTTTCATAGTAGACCTTCCAATGCTGTTTGGAAGAGGTCCTCGGTGGTGATGAACCCTGGCTGTACAGTTTCGACCTAGAGACCAAGCGAAAATCGGCTCATTGGACGGCTGTTGTTGCGGCACCGTTTCGGAAATTCCGGAGTGAGCGCAGTGTAGCCAAGCAGATGGCGACTGCGTTCGTGGTAAAGACCGGTCATTTGGCTACTGTACTGGTCGTATGGCGCCGCGCAGTCACCGGCGACTGGTATGCTACCCCTTGTTTGCCACAACTGCTGGAAACTGTAGCCAAGCGTCCTTCAAGAACGCGAGCACGAGGGAGCTCGCTGCATCCTGAAATTGCACTTGCACCCAGGTCCCATGTCGTGGTAAAGTTGTTGACTACAGATCACATCTAGCAGGTTGTTTACTCACCCTACGGTCCAGACCTGGCTGCTTGTGAATTTTTGTGTTCCCAGGTCTCAAGCGCATGATGCGTGGAATCCGCTACGAGTCTCCAGAAGCTGCAGTAGAGGCCTATATTAAGCTGTTTGAAGGGTTACCTGCTTCGACATGGTCTAGCTGTGCCTCCAAGTGGTTTGTGTGCATGGAACTGTGACTAATCGCTGGTGCAGAGCACTTCAAGAAAATGTAATGCCTATATTGTAAAACATAAAGGTTTGTGTACGTCTGGAAACTTGTTGTTCTACACACAGACATCTCTACTCGCTTTATATTCTCAGTATTCAGTATATCTTAGTGCTAAAAATAGAAAACAAGTGCTTGGTGAGAACCAAATAACGAAACCGGAAAACAGATGCAAACGCCGTGCTGCGCCTTCAGATTTGCGAGACGCTGTCATAAACACAAATCCATGGTCCAGTGGCTAACTTAACAACGAAAACTGGCACTTGCACGAAATTTGCAGCTATAAGAAACTCGGAAGCGTTCTAGGTTCCGTGTCAACAACTGCCTTGTCATCGTAGCATTATATACCATTTCGATCCTATTAAAACTCACAACAATTGGCTTCTGGCTGCAGCTGTCTCCGCAAGCTCCTCCTACCACTGCTCATCTATTGGATCTATCATTCACGGATCACCAACAAACTGTGCTCTTGGAACTTCGAAGTCAACCGTATTTGAAGCTTATCGGATGTTTTCTTTTTCCTCGCGTCGCATAAGAACTCTTGTGGTCTTATTTTAAAGATCTTTTTGAGAGTCACCCGATCAGCTTAATACCATTCCTTCAAGTCACTCTACAAAGCGATAGTCGCCAATTTGCTCTGCATTTGAAACTGCCACTGTCGTCACTAGACAGCATTTCCCAAGTCACCTTGCTTTGCCTCAGTCGCTTTGTCTCGCATCGCTGTCTACTCGTCTGGATCGATAGCACGCACATCGCCTGGACCTGCTGACCTCAAACCAGCGCCGATCGCCACGCAGCGGTGCGTCAGTATCTCCATCCCATCCCTACCCCTACTGAGAACATGTCTCGTATGAAAAGCAAGTGCGAATCATGTGCTAAAGTGGTGAAAAATGGTCTGGTGTGTACCATGTGCTTGAAAACCTATCACACTACTTGCCTTGGGAAGAAGTCGACGGAAGCAAACACCGCAGATTCGCCTTGGTTCTGCCAAGTATGCAAGTCTATTCCATTTGTTAATTGTCTATCTGTGCTACTTCAGAGGTGTGAAAGACCTACCGAAGCGGTCGAGCAACTGGTGAGCGCCAAAGTTACACCCATGGGAGGAAACGGACCTGCACTTGTGAGTGAAAATAACATCCCGAACTCACTAGTCAGGCCGAAGAAGCGAGCCAGGCGTCCCAAACTAACCCCAATGACTCAGCCTCCAGCAGTATCAACTCCATTCTCCCTCCCTCCTATAAGTAAAAACAGTGCCTGTAGCGCGCCTGCCTCAACTTCTGTACTGTGTGCTGCACCTAGTAGTCTGTTCGCTACACTGGAGACTGTAAGCTACAGTCAATCAGCCATAGTGAACAACCCGGCAACGTACGCATCGGTTGCTGCCAAGCAAACACCGGAAAGAGCACCGGTAACTTTGTGCCCGAACTAGAGAAAACAAAACTGACGCAGAACGGATGGCACACACCAAGGCCGTTCACAAATTCAACAAGAACACCAGAAACTAAGCCTCGAAATCCAAAACCAGTAGCCACCAGGCGCAACCACGGTGTCCTAAATATTGTATGCACTAATGTCCCCGAATCCAAATCCAATACAATTAAGGGTAAGTTGACGGACGATCGAAATCAGTGGGGTTCCATCTGTACGTCGATCGGAGTCCATGCTAATCCCACGACATTAAAAAGAATCTTGCGCCACCCAAACGCGTTGCACTACGGCGAACCCCGGTTACTTCGGGTAACACTAAACTCAGCGGACGAGACTGAGGCCTTTCTGCTGTCTGCGAAACCTTAAGCGGCCTGATTGGTTTGATGACACCCATGCGATGATCGGCGCATTGGTGTGTGATAAGAATGCAGCATTTGCTGAACATGTAGCAGACCCCAGTGACTTGGGGAAGAATAGTCAGTTTCGCAATCTTCGACAGCGGTTGACCCGAGAGCTCCGTCGCATAAAAAATGCATGGTGGACGGAGAAGGCGAAGCAGATGGACTGCGGCACCGAACGACACCAACACAAGGAATTCTTTGACTCCTTGAAGGCGGTGTATAGACCAAGATTGGAGCCGCTGAGGACGTTGAAAGATGGTAGTTCAGGCGCTACCTGCACACAGACTGCAGACATAATGCAGATCTGGCGAAAACACTGACTGTCTCTTGAACAACCGTTCAGAGATCGACTGGCCTACATTGAACGACCTGAGGCAGCACGATGTGAAGGCGAGTCTGGCGGACACGCCGACACTGGATGAGACGCAGAGAGCACTTGCTCAGCTGCGAAACGGCAAGTGTGCCAAAGCCGACGGGATCCCGCCTGAAATATTCAAACACGGCGGACCCGCGTTGTTGACTGCACTGCACCACTTGGTGCAACGTGTATGGATTGAGGAGAAGGAGCATCCTGAGCTGAGGGATACCCATGTGCTACCACTGTACAAGGATAAAGGGAGCAAGCAATGTTGCAAGAAACGGCTTCAATTTCTAAAATGGAAACGCCCTCCAGGCCGCGGCCTTCATACCCACCAATCTCAACAGTCGTTAACACCCACGACGGGTGCAACCGATAATATTACTGAGGACACAATCAGTAACCACAGTCCGGAGCAAAACGCACCGAGCTTTCCTGTGATATCCCTAGCATCCAAAGAGACCGCGTCACCCACTCCAGAGAATCGATCACATCGCCCCTCTGCTCCTGTTGCGCCTTCCACCGGCTCAGCATCCTTTCGTACATCATCCAGCTTATCATCTGCTTCTGACAGCAACAAAGAATTGAAAGTAGTTTTTGCTTGGAAATATTTTACGCGTTGCCAGCCGGCTATTTCGCACCTCCGCTGTCGTCCTGGGTCGCCCAACAACCCTTTTATCACTAACGCCCCAGATTTTAACCCCTCTAATGACCCGAATGCCATTTTATACACGCCCAACTCGATGCACCCCCCCTCACCCCAGCCGCGGATAGGGGCCTATGAACGGCCCGCGGCGCAGGCTCCCACCTGTTTCCCTTCATCCCCTGCCCTGCAGAGTCAGTGCAGTGGATTTGCTGGTTTCTCTTTCAACGAATCAAACGGACCGGCCTCTGCCGACTCCATAGCCAGCTCTCGGAACCGCGTCCACCCGTCACCCACACACTCACCCTTATCACCCATAGCCCTACCACCGGGATCACGACAACCATGTACACTACTTGATCGCCTCCCTCAGTTGCTGCCATCACCATGACGAAGAGTTTCTTCTGCCGAAGCTACTTTATCAACATCCAAATCTCCCACCTCCGATCCGGCGACGATATCTGATGTACTCCAGCCTCCCTCTTGTCCGCTGTGCTCGAGGACGTTTAAATCCAGGAGCGGCCTGCGGCGCCATTTGGCTGCCCATCTCAGGAACCCTACGAGTTTACTTACCACAGCCGCTGCCAGGAATACTTGCAGTTTCGAATGCCCAACATGTCACCGCACGTTTTCGACTAAAAATGACCTGTCTCAGCATTGGAGACATCAGCATCCTGTCAGTTACAATGCAGACTGTCTAGCCCGACTACCGAGGCAATCTTACAACTGGTCAGCCAAAGATGACAAATCCCTACGTTTAGCAGCCTCACGTTTTGCGGTTACGGCTCCTTCCTTAAATATCCTTTTAGAACGACTGAGGCGCGTCTTCCCCTTTCGCACCAGGGACGGTATCAGAAAACGCTTGCAACGACTTAGATGGTTCTTTCATCAACAACACACAACGTTCACTTCCAGTGTATTTCCG